GATCTTTTTCTCTGCATACTTTGTTAGCCCCCTTTCACATCATTCATCAATGATCAGGACCCACCCAGACCACCACAAAGCAGATATTATTGGTTGATTCTCAGCACTGCGGTGACACTGACATAGTAAGTGTGGTACTAGTGTATCAGATACAGCAATGTTTTAAACACCTCAGTGTCACTGCTGGACTCAGAATAGTCCACTGATGAAGGACTGGAGGATGACCAACACAAACTGTGCAGCAGCAGATGAGCTATCATCTCTGACTTTACATCTATAAGGTGGACTGACAAGGTAGGAGTGTCTAATAGAGTGGACAGTGATGAAAAACTAAAAAAAAAAGTGGTTAAAAACTCCAGAAGCACTGCTGTGTCTGATCCACTCGTACCAGCACAACACACACTAACACACCAACACCACGTCAGTGCTGAGAATGTTTCGTGAGTAATACCTGCTCTGTGGTGGCCCTGTGGTAAAAAGGAAAAGGTGGTGGTGGTGGGGCGGGGGGCACTCTGTATACAAAGAAACAGATGGTCTCAGTCTGTAAGTCAGGAGTACTGTAAAAATAGCCAGTGAGCATATATGTAGAGTATGTTTGGGAGAGAGAATGAACATCTGAATCCTACCTGTTAAATATACTCCGCTCTTAACACATGTGAAGGTCTCTGGTCAATTTCTTGAAATTTCTGGATTCCTCATGACTGCATCTAAAATGAAGAAATAAGTGAGCAAAATTAGTAATAAACACTTACTGTACAAAACATAAGGATGAAGAATCCTGAACAAACAGTAAACAGTATCAATAAATAAAAAATAAATCTACAAAGTAAAAAGAAAAAGCAAAGGTATATGCAAAGCAATACAAGAAAGAGCAGGTTACTGTAAATAACATTGTACTTTTACAATAGCACAGAAACTTTAAAGTTCTATTGTCTTCATACAACAGTTTTGCAAAGTAAAGAAAAAAGCAAAGCAGGTGAGTCAAATACATGTTAAAATACATAATATTGACAATGTCTTGTGCTAAAAGACGTAATAAAATATTTAGCATAATATGTAATAATATTACAAAGAGCAATACCATAAAGATACTATAAATTAAAGTACCCGGGACAATTCCTGATCAGTCGAGAACCAGAAACAGTAGATGGATGGCTGTAAAAGATAAAACATTTGGTAACTGTTAGCTCGCTTGTTAATCACCTGTTTTAGATGCCAGTTTGCTCTCACAAAATATGAGAGGCACTTTTTTAGCTAAATTACAATTTTAAAGTGAGACATTGACGAATTTATGGTATAATAAACTAGTGTGTGCACTTGTTAGAGTTGCTAGCTAGCTCAATAACCTAGCTTAGCTAGCTTAGCTACGTATGCGCGAGAGTAGGCTAAGTTAATAGCTCTGCTGGACGACCGGTTCACTCCGGCTAACCTGTGCTAACCATGATGGGCTCAAATCTGAACGGGAGACGTCAGGAAGATTCCACCCGTATTGAGCTCCGAGCCATCACCAACGTTTCACCGTGGAGGCGACAACTGCGCACTTATAGCTGCTTCTGGAAACTTAGAAAGGATTCAAAATGCGTGTGGTGAATAAGTTATTGGTTAATTTGATGTAGCAGCAGTTTTTCAATCGGATATTTATTGAAACCTAATTCTGTAATTTGTGAATGTTGAACTCTTCATATGTCAAAACAAAAATAAGCATCACTTGCTAACAGTTAAGTTAGCTAGCTAACGTTAACTAACGTTAGCTGCTAGCTTAAATTTGACTTACAGCACAGGAAGTTTGACATGTTTGGTAAGCTGCAGTAACTAAAGAATGGGCAACTGCCACAGCAACCTACTTGGAAATTGTTTGTTTCCTATAATTAAATAATTAAATAATTAAAAAGGTCTTACCTTTGGGAAGTTGGAGGACTGCAACCCCTGAAAACGTGTAGTCATGGGTGTCCATGAGGCACAAAATGCGTCGGGCAAAAGTGTGAGGTCATTAAAACCAATGACCTCCCAATGAGTAAAATCTATGTTTTCTGCATCTTTGTTGTTCCTGATAAAACATAAGTAAATTCTACTCAGTGTATCACAGATTATTTTATTCAACCAAAACTGTGTCAAATTCAATTAATAAATCATTCAAATGTATTGGATTCAGCTCAGTTTGATTTCTAACTGAACATAGTCGTTTTTGCTATGTAGAGGTTACTATGTTATTTAGTAAATATTAATTAACCCCAGTCCCACTTTTTACAGTGTACAGCAGGAAGCTCCCTGGTGGTCAAACTGGTCCAGAAGGCTGGTGAGCAGTGGGCACTCAATCAAGGCAGATGAAGCAACAGCATCAGATGCACAGGATGGGCAGTTGATCAGCTCAGCAAAGAAACACAAAGGCAGTTAGTTTTGTTAAGAGAGACTGATTACAGTACACAGTGTTGACAGAGTGCAGCAGGAACTCCAGCAGGTCTAGCTATTACAGCCGAACTAAAAGGGAAAGACAGAAGGTAACAGACATGAAGGCACTCTGAGATGTCAGCACCCCTCCTTCACCATCAGCAAATATTAGTGAATGCAAGAGAGTAGCGGGACGACAGCACCAACACTCCCAATTTACAGTAATGCTCTATATCCATGTACCCCAGATCTGTACCTTTTATCTAAAGGGGAAAAATAAATAACCAAAGCCTAGACTTAAAGACTGAGCCTAGACTAAAAACTAACTTTATTTTTATACTCAATACAGTGTTCTCAGTCTTATTAAGTTAAAGTTTATCATCTGGTTTGGTCAATATATATATA